TTGACTCAATGGCAGTGAGTTTGTGAAGAGACTGAAAATGAGCCCCGGTGGTCCTGTCAGTTAAGTGTTGGTAGATAACCTCAAGTTGAAGATGAGGCTGTTGCTGTAAAGGTTTATAGCTTCAGGAACCCTATCTCAGGGCACTATGAGCTGGAGTCAACTTGAGAGCAGTGAGTTGGTCTGGAAAAAGACTAAGAGACTGGGTAACACCCTGAGGTGCTCACTGCAAGATCATGAATCTCTCCTTAGGAGAAAGACTAAGCTTTTTGCTGATGTAAAACTTTACAACCTCAGAAACCCACTGAGAAAGTTCCTACTCTGCCCTACAGGCTCACTGTGAGCTGGAATCAATTCAGTGGCAGGGGACTTGGTGCTTGGATTCATGAGACGAAGATAAATGAATGAGAAAACTTCTCTGTAGCCATCCACAGAGCACAGAGACACTCAGACGTGCGTTCTTGGTGGAAATGGGGGCGCGGGGAACCTATGCCTGTATGAACTGGAATCCGAGTAAAAATACGTTTTGACTCATTCCATTAGCTTTTCATTTCATTTTTCCATGAATTTTATTATGTCCCCTCATGTATACATGTATGCTTGCAATATTTCCCCATGGATTTTAAAAGCCTTTGTGTCCTGTTTACACATATTATGATTACATATTCTTTGTAATTACTCTTTGTAATAAGTCTTAATTCTAAAAGAAATTTTAAAAGGACTTGCAATCCCAAAGAATAAAAACCAAACAAAAGAAAGCAAACTTGCGAGCCATTGAGCCTACTCCTGCGCGCGGTGACCCTAGAGGACAGCACAGAACTGTCCCCAAAGAGTCCCCAGTCAACCTTGTTGAAAACAGTCATCTTTCTCCAGCAAACCAGCTGGTGAGTGCCAACCCGGTCTTACTTCCAGTTGGCAGCTCCTGGCCTTTGGGTTCGCACCGGACCCTTAACCACTGAGTCAAGGCGCTGATTTTTCCCCAGGCATTCTCAATGACTGTTCTCAATGACTGTATTTTGAAGTAGACTTCCAATATTAGGTTTCGTATTGGTTATTAGTCTCAGTTGTTGGATATACAGCAAACCAGAGGACCACCAAAATGTTTGTTTGAGGGGCAGGGGAGGCTAACAATCGAATGAAGATAGCAACTTAAAAACCTGTGAATGGCTAAATGGATGCTTCAAATGGGAACTTAAAAGCCCAAAGCCAAAAAGAGCCTCCGTCTCTAACCTGGGAAAGAGCCCGCGTGTCAAGTCCACGAACGGCTGGAAGAAGAGGAGTTGGGCGTGCCGTCATTCAGTTGCTATGGGGTTTGGATGATTGCCTCTCCCTCGCAACCACTAAAGACAACTGCCTCTCACTACCTTTGTTAATCCCACATCAAATATTGAGCAGACACATTGTTTAAGCAACAGGGGACAGTCCCCAAGGAGACAGCATCCTGTTTGAATAATTTAGGCTGGGGCATCGGCCAGCCCACGTGGTGCATTTGCACGATAGGTCTGACTCAGTCGTCTCCTTTCCTTGTGTCAAGGGCTGGCGGCCCAATAGTTAAATCCCATCACTACAATCAGGGTTTTAAAAAAAAATGTTTAATGCACAACGTAGCAGGAGGTTAAATAGCTTGAGACTTGTTAGGCAAATATTTTCACCTGCTTAGCCAATGAGCTTCCTCTCCCCGAAAGACGAGTTGAACAGGTTTCCTTTTTCTCGTCCGCGGCCTGCTGGGTTGGGGCAAGCGGCTGTCACTTCGCTTGGGCCCTCCCCGTCCCTCCCTCCGGGCCCTTCCACCCTCGGTCCGACCAATCGCGCCTCTTCGGCCGGGTCCAGGTTGGCGGACCCCGGAGGCTGCCTGCGCTGGATGCGGCGCGGGGCGGAGGGGGCGGCGCGGCTCGCTTGGCCTGCGCCCCGGACGGGGAGGACCGGGAGGCCGGCTGGGACAGGACAGACTGGCCGAGTGCGAAGGACTGGCTGAAGGTGCCTCCCGACACGGCCCTGATGACTGAGCTACAGCAAGATGTGGAGGACCCAAAGCCTGCAAAAGTTCTCGGGAAAAGAGAAAGCAAAGTTGGCTCAATCCAGTGAGTATTCTCAGCTGGGACCCATCCAAGGCAGTGGTGGAGCGCGC